TGGAAAAGGTGGCGATGGTGGGAGGAAGTAGAGAGAAAGGAACGGAACGATGGAACAGGGTTGTTCCAGTGTGCAGCGGGCGGGCATCGCGGCGGGGGCGCCGTTCTGCTGCTCCTGTTTATCCATCCAGGGTTATATGCACCATCCACCGCATCCTAGCGACCACGACGGCGACGACGACGAGGACGAGGACGAGGACGGTGACGACGACGACGACCACGACGACGAAGACGAAGACGACGGCGACGACGGCGACGACGCCGCCGGGAAGCAGGAGGAAGGAGAAGGAACAGGATATCCGGCGACATCGTTCGCGTCGAAGAGCAGAGAGTGACTCTTAACGACCAAAGAGAGAGTATCTGTTATTACCGTTAGTACCACAGTAGAGAGTTTTTAGTTAGAGATAGTATACGATAGCACGCGTCTTTCGGGTTCGGTTTCCCCATCGGCGTTCATCGTTATTATTCGGTCGTGACGGGTGTCGTTACGCCAGTGACTTTGTTTTGATCGAAAGAAAGGACGACAACGCGAATCTTGGAGACGTAGAAACGAGGGAGAGAGAGAGAGAGAGGGTGAGGGAGAGAGGGACAAAGGAAGGAAGACGAGTGAAACGAAAACAGAGACTGCGCGAAGAATAAAATAGTGTTTCCGGGGGGATCGAGAGACGGATCAAGACAAAGAAGACAAAAGGGAGGTAGCGAGAGGAAGAGTAAGGAGACATAGAGGAGTAGCGTGGTTGGGAGAGGAGGTTGTAATAATAAAGAAGAATAATAAGAGAGAGAGAGAGAGAGAGGAATAATAAGAGTGAAAGGTAGGTCGACTCGCCGGAGGGAGCCATCGAAGGTGGAGGAGCATGCGAGAGCTGCTCCTCGGTGTTCCAACATGACCCAGCCTTAGTAGGGTACCTCTGCTGGCGTACACCCTCCGCGCCGCGACACGATACGACACGCAGAAGGAGGTGGTGGTGGTGGAGGTGGTGGTGGTGGAGGAAGCGGAGGTGGAGGAGGAGGTGGTTGTGGTGGTGGCGAGAGGAGCGGTGGTGGGGGCGGCGGAGGCGGTGGACGGGGGGCTGGAGGAGGACGGAGAAGAAGAAGACGAAGGAGGAGAAGGAGGAGGAGGACGTCGGAGGACTCGCTAACGACGACGGCGAACGTCCTCGAGGGTGCGAGATACCAGCACCAGCAACACCACCGACGACGATGATCGTGACAGGCGGCGAACGGCGTACATGCTGTTGGAGGAGGAGGCGGCGATTCGCGGCGGTTGCGGCACTGGCCTCCGTTCTACTTGGCCTGACGATCGGTCCCGTACCGACCCAAGGACACAGGCCAGCGCCGAACAATCCGATCATTCTTCAGACAAGCACCAGTACGACAACTACACCTTACTCGGTGCATTCGGTGAACGGTACAAGTGACAACAATAACAATGAGTTGGACGTACACGCGGACGACGGATACAACAGTACCATTCATCATCACCATCACAAGAAGGTCGGGGGTAACATGACCGAGGAGAAAGCGCCCCTCTTCCCGGAAGATCTGTTCACCATCCATCAACGTAGACGCGGTGCCGTGATACTTCACGTAATCGGTGTGGTGTACATGTTCGTCGCATTGGCGATCGTCTGCGACGAATTCTTCGTACCGTCGCTGGACGTTATCATCGAGAAACTGGAGATCGCCGACGACGTTGCGGGTGCTACGTTCATGGCGGCCGGCGGTTCGGCCCCGGAACTCTTTACATCGATAATCGGCGTGTTCGTGTCGTTCGACGACGTCGGTATCGGCACCATCGTCGGATCCGCCGTCTTCAACATCCTCTTCGTGATCGGCATGTGCGCTATATTCTCGCGTACCGTGCTCTCTCTCACATGGTGGCCTCTGTTCCGAGACTGCACATTTTACAGCGCCAGTCTCATCACCCTGATCTGTTTCTTCCGTGATAACTACATACACTGGTACGAGGCCCTCGTACTCTTCGGTTTCTACCTGGCGTATGTCAGCTTCATGAAATGGAACCAACCGATGGAGAAGCTCGTCAAGAGAATACTCTACAGGAACAAGGTGACCCGGGTTAGGTCTACCGATCAGCTCATGCCCTCGGTATGTACGCTCTTTATATTCACTTTAAGTCACGTTAATTTTATGCACACGAAAACAAGCAAAGCAAAGCAAAGCAAAAAGGAAACCGCGATACGTGCTCTTTCTCAAAAAGGACAGATCGCCTAACCTAAACTTCAACTCTTCCAACCTTCTTCTTATACGTGTCCCCTCCCCTCCACACCCTCCTTCTTTTTTTTATTCACCGCGTTACATCGATCTAACGACTGTTTGAACCGCGTTACACCGTCTCAGTTTCGTCCTAAGGGAAACCGTCGCGTGACTTGGCTTACTCGCACGGCTACTCGTGGGCGGTGTTTTGTCTCGTTGACGGACATTGCCACATTCGCTTTCTTATCGTCCCTTACACCTTTTCTTTCTCTTCTCCATCCTTCTCAGGGATATCACCGTTGGAGCAACGAGGTCGCGACATTGGCCACGTTCACCTTTTCCATTCCATTCTCCCTATCTTCTGATTGCTTTTAATCGAACGATTGCGCCGATCTTCTCTATAGACCGCGGGATATATATACTCCTCTTTCTCTCTCTGTGTACTTTAGTTAATAGAATAGGATTTGCGAACGGGCCATTTTATTACTCGAACATCGACCAACGGTTTTACCACTGTTCCATCGATTCTTCCGTTCCTACGACTCTTCTGCTCTCAATTGGGCCAAAGAATCGGGTGTACTTGTGTAATTTTCCCCCCTTTTCTCCACGCTTTCGAGTGGCGGAAAAGTTGATGGAAAAGAGAGGAGTTGTGCTAGGTTTAGCGAATGGAAACGCTTGGCCCGGATCGTCGCCACGCGCTCTTGATATCCGCACTTGGCGCAAGGTCGATCTTGATGAATAAATTCAAGCGAAAGATCCCGATGCGCCACAAGATGGTCCAATTACGCGTGTTGCACCCACTCGCGCGCTTAATTAGTGCACTTACCGCGCGTACCTGCAACGCAATTGGAGAATCGCGGTCTCTGTCGCGGAAAAACGAGCATAATTGACGATTTCGTTTCGCTACACTTTCCTCCACGTTAAAGACGAACGATTTAATCTGCCGTTGGTGTAACCCTTCTCGAACATCTTCGATCTATCTAAATAGATATCTCGTCGAAGACTGTTTCCTCTTTTCGAACGATAGAAAAATTGAACAAGTTCGAAAAAACGAAACGTGTTTAGTCAAGTCCAGTTTCTTTCAGTTAGAGAAGACGAAGTGTCGTGAATAATGAATCGGTTCAGTCTACAACTGTACTTTGCGAGTTCTAATTAAACTTTCTTATACATACTCTCTTTACTCGAGCATTTTCAACGATGCACGCTCGATTAGGTGCATTATACGCGTGGAAAAAAAAGGCGCTCGGACGATTGGACGGCGAACAGTGGAATTTATGGTTCAATCGGCGGGCACGTAAACGCGAATAAATCAATTGTCCGAATTGAATTTTCCGCGGCCGATTAATTTACGCTCGCGAAGGACGGAATTTTGATTTATCCGGGGAACGTTTCGACTATACCTGAACTACGATCGATTTCACCTGTGCGAAATCGATGGAAACACCGTCTCGACACAGTTAAAGGGGGAAAATTGGTTATCGAAAGCGCGTGTCTCGCGGAGGAACGCGGAAAACGTTTTTTAATTCCCTTCCTCCTTGAAACGCATCGATTGATCGTCCCTGAAAATACCTGTATCCTCGAACGATCGCGCTCACTCGAGTCTGTATTTTATTACTCGCGTAAAAGTGTCCAGAGCAGAGATTGAGAACCTGCGGCCTTTTAAGGTTTATCGCGTCAATTATGTATCTTTATCGTCTACAAATTTTCACGTCCTAACAGCTGAAGTTCTAATAAAAATGTAATATCCTAATATCGATATTTATATATATTTATACTTATAGAATGTCGAGAAAATTTGTAAATATAAAGAATAGTTGAAGAAGATTCTCCCAACTCTGGTCTAGCGTTTTCTCTCGATGAAAAGAAGGAACAACGATAGGAACCGTGTATCGAGGATAAATATCGGTCGAATCCATCGGAGATTTTCGTACTCGTCAATTGAAACGCGTTCCATGGTGTCTGAAAATTAGGCCAGTTGATCCTGTCCATGTACGGATCTTCGTGCCACTTTTTCGCGACCCGATTGACTATGGACGCGGAAGATGGCCGGAAAACTAGAGTCGAACGTGGGCCAGGAATAGGAAGGCTGAGTGCTCACGATCTATCCATAGTGTTTGCACGATTATGCAACATGAAAGAAGGATTCTCAATTAGGGGATGCGAGCGAGATCAGCCGTAATCGATACTACTCTCCCCGGCTTCTATTATCGTTCCGTGCACGGTGAAACTGGCGGAAAGCGCACCGCGTTCATAATGAAAAGCGTTGCATAATATTTCGCCGACGCGATTACGTTTTCATAATGGCGAGACCGTGGCCTGTGGAGAGTGTAAAAAAATTTTTTTTGCCGCGCGTTAGAAAGATGGATCGCCCCGCGGCCACTGTCGCAATGCTAATTGCGTTATCAAGATCGTGCCCGATAAAAAGCGACCCCTCCGTGAAACAATTCACTGTCGTGAGACAGTGCAGTTATTCTTGACTCGTTTTTAAAAAGTCAGTCACACGATTCCACCGGGGAATTATTGAATTATCGCGAGTACGGTCGTTTTATCGCCAATTAAAACGGTTCGTTTGTTAACATTTTTATATTGTTTTATTTTACGTTTTATTTTATAGGAACGATATAGACGAATAGGTGAAATTCTTCCGGTTAAAACGAGCCCAAACACGACCATATTCGGACTACGTTCAACTAAAAGCGTTGTACCGGGTGTGCTTTGATTTTCGAAGCGAGTTTTGAAAAAGTGTCCGAATTAGGTCGTGTTTGTACTCGTTTTCATCGTGAGAACCTCACCTATTCCTGTGTACCATTTTCGTTACGATAGTACGAACAATGAAGTGAACACAGTGCTCAACTTTGCTGTCAGAAATGGTGTTACTCTGATGCAGGACGACGGGCTCTTTGTCTTTATCAGAAAGTGTCGTTCAGATCGTGTTAATTGCGCGTTGTCGGTTTATCCTGCGTTGCTGTTCTCTCGCTTCGTTAATATCGTGGAATGTTGAAACGCCGCTGTCAATCAGACACAACATCGCGGGCGTGAAATATAATTCTCTTATTGACACTGATTAGTGATTGGTGAAAACGGATGGTCGGGCACGCTAATGACTGCATAATTGTATGCAGATAGAGCCGCTGATCGGAATTTATGCTGCCGCAGGATATAATTCCATTACGAAAATTGTGCCACGCCTCCCTTTATTTATATTCCCTAGAATAATTTCACCCCCCTCCCCCCACAATTTTGTTCGTTGCAAACGAAACACGGATTACCGTGTTTGTCTCCGCGTATCAAAAATTTCACCGAGTAATACCCGAACAGTTCCAATAGTCGCTATCTGAATGTAAACCGTCCAAGGATCGCTGCAAAATGTTTACTTAGGACTAGGGAAACAATACGCAGGATGTTTCGAGAGGCACGCGCGAATTTCCATTCGAATTGCAAAGCTGTTGTAACCTTTGAAGTGCACCGTAACCATTGTCGATACGTACCGAATATTATCGAAACGGGCATAAATATCGTACACATTTGATTTAATTCTACACGACAGAAAAAAAAAGAAGAAAAATCGTCATCCGTACTCAAAGTTCAGCTTCAATGTACATTGCAAAAAGGTTAGGTCATAAAGAACGTCGCGATAGAGTACACGGTGGAAGCAATCGAGAGATTAAAGCGTTTAATTAATATAGGGGGTGCTCGAGGATCTGCGAAATTCGCGTTCTCGCGAGAGGTTTCTGCACAGACGACACGGGGATCGAATAAGTGTGGAAAAGAAAGGTTCACCGAGAGCTGCTTCCTCTCGTCATCTTTTACTCTTCCCACTTCCATTTCCATCTTTTCCCAATGGTCGTGGCCGTCGTCGCCGCCGCCGCCACTGGTGCTTCTCTGCTTTCTCGTGAAATCTTCCTCCTCGGGGAAGTTACGGCATTGCAGTGTGCAGGAGGCCCTCCACCCATCGTTGAATCGATTCGACAGAGGCCCTTCTCCACGCTTAACCTCGCCGTGACGATATACAACCAACCGAGCTCGTGCACACTCCTCTCTCTCTCCTTCCTCCTCTTTTACGTTACATAAAACGTATGTACGTTACGCCGATCAAATGCACGCTCGAGTTACCAGCAATCTGCCTACAAAACCCGATTGACCGGACGGAAATCCTAAAGTGTTTTCGAGAGTGTGCCGTGGTAAACGGAGGGGATGCTAATGATATAATTAACTCTCGCCTCTTGTTTGTCCGAGTGACGACGCTTACTCCCCGGGAACACGCGAATCTGCCCGGTTCAAAAAAAAGAATCCTAGATGCAATCTTTAACCTCTTCTGTCAACGTTCACTTCAGTCGACATGTGCTCTTTCAGATTTTTATAATTTTCTCATTTCTCAATCGGTTGGAATTCAGAGTTCATTTTCGCCTCGTAAGACCACGTATCGCATTGAAATGTCTGGTATATCGGATAGGTTAAGGGTTCGTTATAACTTCCTGGAGAAGCGATCCAGTTCGCGGCGGATTCCTAATTAATGAGTCGGAAAGAGAGAAATCGTAGGAATCGCAGGCTGGCGAATGATGAATTACTTAGCGCGTCTCTTTTTATTCATGAACCAGCGGCAATTTCCGGGAGAAAGCGAGGCAGCATCGGATTCAATCTGACGTGTAAACGCTTAAAGGCGGAATGAGCTGTGAAATTTTCGAGGGTACTTAAACACCGGGTGCGTGGCAGAAGGAGGCAGGATCCTTGAAAGGAGGACGGGGGGGTTTCCGGCGCGCGAGAATATGGAAATGGAGGGCGCGGCCTCTGAGATGACGCGAGGCTATTTAAATTCCTGCGACGATTCGTGGACATTTGTGATTCTGATACGGTGCGTCTGAGAATTATCGCGACAATACGTACACACTGTGCGTGACTTCTTCGGAAAGAGAGGAGAATTACAGCGGTTCGAGATGCCGGATAAGTTTGCTCTCGAAACAAGATCCTCGGGAGTGTTTCTCTTCGAGGGAGAATTCGATAGTAAGGAGTTTGGCTGAAGACTATAGACAACTATACACCGGTCGAGATTTTCAAATACAGACTTCGGGTCACTAGACTTCTACGATTCTTCTCTCTCTCCGCAAATGAAGTTGGAAAGTAGCGAAAGAGATTTTTTTTCCAGAGAAATTGCTTCGAGATTAATAGCACACGTCTGCTGTCGACGTTCTTATTATTCGACCGTTATTACTCTTAGATCGTTTAGATTCGTCTATAACGCGTTGTACAGGTTGGTTCACTTTCGACAACTTCGTTTCTCGATTTCGAAGTGAAAGAACCCATCAGACTGCTGCAAGGTTTCATTTATCCTCTAATTAGGGATACCTGTCGCTCGGAATTAAGCGTAACTTTTGATTAGATTCTCTTCGGAAGTAATGCCCCGCGGAATTATGGTTCGTTCCGTTTTATACGGTGTATACAATTAAAGCGGGCGTAATTAGGAGAACAATCTTCCACCGGCAATTGTTTCCTTCTGCTGCCGGGGCAAAAAAAAAGGGAAAATTAAAAAAAAGAAAGAACGATACGTACGCTTACCTAGTTAGATTGTTAGACGAATTGTTCGGTGGAGAAAAAGAAGAGAGAAAGAAAAATTAGGGAAAATTGTTTCAATCCGAACCACCACCGCCTGTTTTTCTTTTCCTTTTTTTTTCCCCTCTTTTTCGCTCTCTATCCCAGGAAGGGGAAAAAAGTATTTTCGTCTGCTAACGATAATGCGCGGCCGAGATTCTTTTGTTGAAATATCGATTCGCGGCTTGGAAATTCGTCCCGTTACCTTGACCAATGACATTTCCGCGCTTTTTGAGAAAAGGATGCATTTTCGGTGCATATTCCTCTCTCTCTCTCTCTATTTCCCTCGGCAGAGCTTTTTCTCGCTTTCTCTCTTTGCTTGGAAAAACGATCCTCGTATGAATGCGCGTACAACAATCGATCGGTACCCAGTTCGCAATAATTGACCCGGCCGTACCGAATTCTCGCGATTCGTTCGCTGGTTTTTATGAAAGGAAGCAGGTCGAAGAAAAAGGACGAGGAGGTGAAAACCGAGAGGGAGGGCGGAGTGGAAGAAGAAAAAATATTTATGCGTCCCTCTTCCTCCCGAGGTAGTCACGGTTGTTTCGTTCTCGATCGCACGGCGACTCTCGAGAACGTGAAAGGTCGGGTACGTTAAATCCAACGATAATTCGCCGCGAGATGATAACTTCGATTCGGTGTGTCGTCTGATCGGAAACTATCGTTATTAGCGTTACTGCGAGATGGACAGGTAGCTGGACGTGTGAAAGGACGAACAGTGGGATGAAATTAAGAATGTATAGTCAGTGGAAGAAATATTGCCAAGTCGTAGATTAAGCCTTTGCGCTCCAAGCATTTCTCGATAAGATTAATAGTGAAACTTTTAAAAATCTAAAAAATTTAATCTTAATTTCCATTATTTTGCTAATACAAAAATACCGGAATTTTACGTATTAAAGTTCTCCATGTCGCCATAACAGCGCCATTGGAGTGCAAAGGGTTGAAGAATTAATTGATGCGCTAAAAAAGTTTCTTACTATGAACCGTTTCCTCGATACCTTACAATACTATTTTATGCAGATTAAAATAAAAAATATTAACATCAGGGTCGAACGAGGAATTTTTCGTTTTTTTGCAAATGATACACTAATATTCACCATTTTCCCTTTTCTCCTAATAGAGGCCTCAGGTCCTTATCTCCTCAGGTTTCTGTCGATTTCCTTATCTACGCTGTATTTCTTCCATCGACTGTACCAATTAAGACGCAACCTGTTAACTATATCAAAAGCAAAATCCCCAATTATCTTAGATTCTAAAACGACGACAGAGAATTCAGGTGAGCTTTCTATCGCAGATGTCGACTGAAAAGATTAGGGTAATTAGTATCTTGGAACGAGAGATCCGGTGAAATCGTTCGTCGAAGCTTCTTCCTTCCCAATCGAAGTCGACTTTTCATCCCAGTTCTTCCTCTCTGCATTTACACACACACACGCGCGCGTAATCGGAACGCGATGCTCTCGCAAAGTCCACAACTTTTCCTAATTAAATTTCGCGCATTGTCATAGTTGGAGCGGTTTTGTCTGGCGCGTGCATACACCTACACACAGAGGGAAATTGCGTTCGAATCAAGCTCGTTTCGGTCCTTTTGTCGTCCGTCCCAGCCGTAACTAACTTGTCGTCGCGCAAAAATGATCGACCTCGAAGGGGGTGGTTCGTCGCGTTCCGCCGGTTTAAACGAATCGCTTCTCCAACGACGAATATAACCAACCTCCTCTCTACGCGTCTTCCATATACCCCGATGTACACGTACATATATCCCTCGAGCAGGTTTTTGCTGGACGTGGAAACATGCAATTAAGGAATTCTCCGTTCTCGTTAAGAGGCGGAAGAAGCACGAAAACTTGGAGCGAAACCTTCTCGCCTCGGATTTGCTAGTGTAATCTGGTCGTCGAAACGTTTAACTACACTCGAAAACGTTCGTGTATCTTTTTTTTTTATGTTTTATTTTTAACTGTTTTAACAGGGTTAAGGATTAGGCTGAATTCGGCTAGGTGTTTAAATATACGTGCTCACGCGAGCATTAGAATTCACGATTTCACTTCATCTTTACTTTGTCCTGTTTTTAACAACAGTCGAAGCGTTGTAATTAAAATGATTCCATTTTTTTCTTCTGTCAACGGTTGCTGCATCTCCGAGTTCATTAGGTTCACTGGTTATCTCGAGAGCGTCTCCTAACGTTCTATACCGATCCAATCTACCTGGACAGCGTTGACTTCTTTGCTCCTAATCATCCCTACTTCGGAAGCTCTCCGTCCACTCGATATCTCAATTTACATTCCCCCTTTTTCCATCCGCCCTTAACGGTTAATAACAGCGCTGCTTCCGTTAACAGCAACGTGAATAAGTAAATAAAACGTTCTCTCCCTGCGCTCCTTTTTCCCTCCGCCCTGCGATATCCTCCTCTGCCACCCGGTGGGAGTTGCTTTTCCTTGACGAAACGCCAGCTTCGTGTGCTACCTGGAATTTGATCGCGTGAGCAATCTCGAATTCTCGTGTTTACCGCGTTTTCCCTGCGTTCTTCGAAACGAAACTCGGTCTTGTGCTAATAGAAAACTCCCTCGTCGTCGTCGTACCTAACCGGAACGGAGTTTGAAAAGTTGACGAGCGGTTGAAAGGACGAGACAGAAAAAATCGCAGCCGTGCGAGATAGGTTTGTTCAGATTGGAACGTTGCGACGAGGAAAGCACGTTAAATCGCGGCAGTATCGCGGGAGTTCGTTTTCAATTACCAGCCAGGCCCAGCAAGCGAGCACCGAAATTACACTATCGATCAGAATCGAACACCTCAGAACAGCACGCGACCAATCATCCTGCCTCATAATTACTACAGAGCCGAGCACTTGTTGTCGAAGGGAGCCTCTCTCCCCTCAGCTTCTCTCCTTCGTTCCCTTGCGTAGCTTGCGAGATGTCGCGACGATGCAAGAAAAAAAGGAAATAATGAAATAAATAGAAAAAGAAAAGGAGAAAAAAAGATAAAGAAACAAACTGCATTGGGGAAACGAGATGTCGTCGTATCGATCGAAGGTCGCAATTATTTGCACGGCTGAAAGTAAGTTTCAAGGATTTCGCTTCTTTTTTTCCTCTTCTTTCCTCTCACTCACTCTTCTTCTTCTACTTCTTTATACACCACTTCTTCCGTTCTTCTTTTTCTCCCTTTCTTCTTCTCGTCCCACCCCGTTTTGTTCGCTAATTAAGCTGCGCGACCTTCGACCAGGCTTACGACGCTGCCTACTTACACTCGTATCTCTCCTAACGCATAATTTCTCTCTTTCTCTCTCTCTATATCTCTCTCTGTCTCTCTGTTTTCTCTGTCCATGTTTCTTATATATGTGCACAATTCGATGTGAATACGCTTTCGCGAGCACTGCATTGTCGTGTGAACTGTGTGTACGCGCGCAAGCGCGCCGCCGCCGCCGCTTGCGAGATCACGAGATCCATCTTTACGAAAACAATTACTCGATTGTCGTTACCTGTGATTGATTGTAACTGGGTGTTTCTTGCTTGCAGCACCAGAGCGCCGCCCAGGCATTGGTGAGTCGCATGTCTCTATCTCTTTTTTCTCTCTCTCTCTCTCTCTTCTTTCTCTCTCTCTGTCTCTACCTGCCTCTCTCTATATCTATATCTTATCCCTGCGTTTATCATTCACGATCACGTTAACATGTGTTACTGTACGACACGGCTGCTGAACTTACCACTCTCTCTCTCTCTCTCTAATAGAGACGAAATATCTCCTCTCTGTTCCGAGTAAACGAGGGAGGATCTCTTTGACGTGCACGTGTATACGTACGTAAGTTCAGCAGTGGTGGCAACGATCGACGCGATGCATGATTCTGTGTCTCGTACATTGCAACGTCATGTGCCTCTCTGATCGATGTATTTATCCATGACAGGATCAAACGGAGCTGCGTGTTCCAGAAGTCAAGCAGACCCGACGAGTTGCGTTTGTCCGTCGGGCGTACGCCAAAGGGATGCCTGACTTTTGGGGCATGAATCGCGTGAAATGGTAGTTGACCCATAGACAACCACGAATTTCACTAGTTCTAATTACGTATCATCGTGTTCCAGTAAATTAATTCCGATTAGATTCATCACGAAATGTAGTCGATATTGTGTTATAGTTGGAAATTTCATTATTAGAAATAGAAGTTAAAAGTGTTGCGGCGGTAATTCCCACGCTCCGCCGCTAGAGGGACGGAGTAACGTTATCCTTTCTCGCTAGTTCTCACTAGACCTCCTCTTTCTACGTACAGGGTGTCCTAGTTGTTTCGGATCGAACTTCGTCGGTGTATTCTAGGGGTAATGGTGAGAAGAAAATGTCGTATGAACATAGGTGGTGGTTCGAAGCTTCGTTAAAAAGTTGTAGCAGAAATACGTAGCGAACTTGCGGTTGCTATGATACAGGACAAGGATGACACTAGGAAATGTTACACTCGGCACCTTGAACTAACTCTGATTGTAAACACAGCTTGCATAAACAGACTAGATGTACGTATCACCGATTTATTCCTATTTTGTATCATAACCTCACTTTTCTTACCGTTTCCTTAGTATTTCGTATTTATCGTTGTAACTTTTTAACGAAGCTTCAAACGACCTACGTTTATAGAACATTTTCTTCTCACCTGTACCCATAGAACACACCGACGAAGTTTGATCCGAAACAATTCGGGACACCCTGTATATATGTACAATTTGTAACCTAAGGCACGCATCTTTCTTCCCCCTTTCCTTCTCCGCCTGTTTACTTCCTCGTTCCTCGGCCAAACCGCCATAGTATTTCATCATTGTGTAATAATAACGTTTAACCTTTCAGTTAATTTCTAATAATAAAATATTCTTCTAATAATCTATACGTATAAAATAAAACGGTTGATCCACGAACGGTGGTATACCGATATACCACTTAACGGTTGTCGATGGGTTAAATACACGTAACACTGATGGGATGAATTGAAGCGAATGGAATGGAAGTTTTGAAGGATTTCAAGGTATCCGGAGGAATGAAAATGGGAAAAGTAAAGCGGAATTATGGGAGGATTACAAATATCGGAGGGCGGAGAGAATCGTCCGGGGGTGTTTTCAACCCTCGATCACTATTCTTCGACCCGGCGCAGTTTCTGATCTATCTACGTTCTCATCGAGCACCCTCGCTCGTTTAGGATGCACCGGTTCAGCCGAGTTGGTCGTCTCGCGCATCACAAGTGGCAGCTGCGACAAAAAAGAATCGTTTATCCACGCCCTCAACCCCGTTTCCGCATAATAGATACGTGGACACGTACACATACGCAGCATCCACCCCGCTCTTCGACACAACTACTACCCGCGTGTAGAACGTGTGTAAGAAAGGAGAACAAGTGAAAAAGAAAAAATGAGAAGAAAATTTCTTCGTTCGATAACTGTACACACATTCGTCGTAGCTACACGGTAAGTACGAGAACAGTTCGAAAACCACTTTCGATCCCTTACGAAAAGGTGGATCGATCCAAGTGATTCTTTTTTTTCCTTCTGAATACGAAAGAGACTCGACTGCGATACGTATCGAAATAATGCAACGATTTATGCGGTTGCAGAGCAGAGGCTGCATCGGTATTTTCCTCTTTGATTAGCTCCGGCGTATCGAGACGGCAGTCCCGACTGAATTAATCAGTATCGATTCCGGTCTTTCTTTGCCACTCTCGCTTAGTCCCTACGCTACTGGGTACTCTTGCAATTCTATTTGTACGATCTTGGATGTTTCGAGGAGTTGTCGATAATCCATCCCGATAATTCTTCTTATTATTGTTACTGTCAACAGCGTATTTTATTATTTCCAATTGTTTCGAGTTCTCGTGCAGAGGTTGTACCTTTTCTTTTTCCCTCGTTTCGCGAAACAGAGTGATTTTTTCCGTGTTAACCTTTATCGATCGGGTCACGATCGACCTAGTTTTCGAGCGGGATAAATCAAGCCGCACGAAGAAAGGAACTTCCCGATAAGATTTGCGCGAATTCAGCCGAGACTGTTGTCCTTTGTCGCATATTCTATATGAGAAAAGTTGCGGCGAGTGATTTTCCACACGGAAGGGGTTGATGGTGAAGAGGAGGAAGGAGTAGGGTTGGTTATGGGAAACTGGGTCGTGAGTAAAAGTTGTGTAATTGCGCCTCTATCGGTTCCGATAGCCGATTTCAAAGCGAGATTCTCGTTCTCGCCGGTTTCGCAGTCCGAAGTGCTCCCTATTTGACGTAAAGTTCTTCTTCCTCCTCCTCCTTTGCAGACCTTTCTTTCTACTTCGACGGAGAGTGAGAGAGCGTGTGGCTTACTCTTGAATCTAAATAACGCTTGGTAGCCTCGTTGCTGGCGATAAACCGTATTATCACGGCTCGCTGAGACGTTTTCGAGGTGGAGGAAGGATCGTAATCGAGCTCGAGCCGAAGTTACAACTCTCCTTTCCAACTACGTACCACATTCCTTCGAATTATTTCACCTATTTTCGCTTCTCTTCGAACGTGTATGTAGATTTTCCAGCGATCGTAGAACGGGTTGGGGTTCGTGTCAAGGTGAAACCAGTGAAAATTTATTTCCCTCCGGAGAGGTTCACCTTCTCCACACCGTTTCCACGTCTTTCAATTCCTTCTTGCTTCGCTCGATCGCCCATTCTCTCTCTCTCTCTCTCTCTCTCTCTTGACTTTTTATCCAGCTGTTCGAACAACGTGGTAGCTTCGTGTTCGTTAATTTCCACCGAGTACGTCTTCGTTTCTATTCTTGCCTGTATACGTAATTTCAAGTTAGTATCTCGGTTGTATCGCGTAACCTCTGTACCGTGTCTCACCTGCAATATCATCGTTTTAAACTACGTGTATTAGGTAATTGCGTGTAGAGATTGTTTGATCGAAATACAGCAAACTGGACAACAAAGGGGGAGACAATCGCACGATTCTGGACATTTCGGCCGTGGAATTCGACGCGGCAGTGCCCGCTTAATTAGATTTCCCCTACGGGCCACCGTAGACACACACAGACACGTAGTGTGTATTGAACGGAACAAAAGAAATCACTTCACGGTCAGAGCTATGATACGAAGGTGTGTGTAATCAAAGCGGAGACAGTATAGCCCGCATAAATGTCCACGAAATCCCTGCTCCCTGTCGCCGTTATTATCATTTATAAGCGGTCTGTTCACCAGGAACCATGGTATATTTATTACCGTGCACAGAGTCACTGTTCCGCTATCGTTTCACGAGATATCGATTATAGACCGCAGTATTATCCGCGGGATAAAAGTTTCGCTTGCCATTCGTCGCTCCACTTTCAGTTCCTCTCTCTCTCTCTCTCTGGTTCTGCTAAGAACCTGCGATAAAACACCACCGTTGAGTCTGTGTTTCGATAACGTTTTCTTCTCGCTTGATCTACTCGCGCGTTAAAAAAGCACACAAACGAGAAGGCAAAAGAAATGACAAATAGTGGTGGATGCTGCAATTTCCTTAAAGTGTAAAGTGGGTGGAAATGTACGTACGAGAGAGAGATGACGGGGTGTATGACTGATTTCAGCGTTGCGTAGAGTTTGAGAAAGCAGAAACGAGAAAAAGAGCCTAAAGGGAGAGTGTAAATAGAGTTGGGCCAGGGATAAAGGGTACAGGGAGAGTTGATAGCGATGAATCAAAGCCAGTAGCAAGCTGGACGATCGTTTATTTACGAATATTCCGGCAACCCTTGGTCCGAGTGCATGCGAGGCCCGCGATGCACGTTAATGCACACATCTCTCTCTCTCTCTCTCTATCTGTTCTATCTCTTTATCTCTCTCTCCTTCTCTCTGCTCGATGCTTTAATATTAGCCGCTGTTCCATTCATGCCACAAAGAGGCTTTCCGATTCATTGGCATCCACTGGACCCACAACCTTTGTCCTGTTAACGGTGTCACGAGCAGCCTCGCATTTTAGATTATACGTATGTATGTATGTATCGGGCACTCTTGCCACGAATTATCGTTGCTCCTCGTTCTTGTCGAATAGTCTTGATTGGGATCGAATTTGAATTTTATGGAGGACTTGGATGAGAGCGTGGGTCAGTCTTTCGTGGCTTTCGGTGAAGATTTATGGTGGACTCTGTGTTTCGTCAATTCTAAGTTGTTTCCGGCGTGGAAGGTCTTTTTAGGAAGCTCTTTCAAACTATGATTTTCATCAATTTCCAATTATTTTTATTGCGGAAGATTTGTCGAAGATTCTACTCTGCTTTTTACGGCGATGTTTCGAATTTATCTCTGCGAATTTGCAAATGATTTTCATCAATAGTCAATTTCAAGTTATTTCTCTTATGGAAGATTTGTCCAAAATTCTACTCTGTTTTTTACGGCGATGTTTCGAATTTATCTCTGCGAATTTGTAAATGATTTTCATCAATGGTCAGTTTCGAATTATTTTTGTCATGGAAGATTAGTTCAAAATTCTACTATTCTTTATGACGATATTTGGAATTCTATCCGTGTGATTTTGCAAGTGATTTTCATCAAGAGTCAATTTCAAGTTATTTCTCTTGTGGAAGATTTGTCCAAAATTCT